CTGCTGACCGTACAGAGATGTGACAGCGGTAAGGTGTTTCCTTCAGACAACCAGCATAACAGCGATGCTGCCTTCCCATAAAGGAGGGGCGGGGTTAGAAAAGGTCGACGCTAAAAACGCACAACTCGCCTTATCCCACGAATATCCGTCTCCGGTGGTAAGGTCCCAACAAGTAATGAATGAAAATGACACGAACATTACTCACAAAAAGGTCGTGTATTACCGACCTCAAGTACATGTCCCTTGGGTATTGCGGTCACACTCTCAGGTCATTAAGATCACCTCTAATTCAATTTCCTCCTCAGGTACCTCCAGAAGACCCCTTCCACGGTGTGGGAAACCGGAGAGTGATAACTGCCCTCATACCTCTAACAGCACTCAAGACCACTGACTGAGATTTCTTAAAATGTATACCAACAGTGGTAGTTTTTCCTAAACACTAATTCTTCGCAGTTACAGGCTAAATGGATATTCATATTAGTGTGGTAAACTTGAAACTAAGTGATATGGAACGTAATTGTTTAATCAATTGGAGTGAAAACGACATATGAAACTGATTTTTCTTCAATCGTTTGTGATATCTGTAGTCATGTCTTAAGAAGGATTATAGATGCATCATTGTATAATACAGTAAATGTGTTCACACAGTATTATTGTTAATTACAACTCAATTCAATTTATACAAATCTAACTCTTAATTTCATTGTAAATAAATCATATAAAATATGATTTATTCCTAAATTATTTCAATTTACTTGAAGAGTTAAATTAATCCTTACCACCAGTATTCGTGCATTTTCTCTTGTGCTCATGTTGCCGTGTAGATTCGTTCTGGGGTTACTACAAGCGGTTAGAAAATCGGGTCGAGCGTTCATTTAGAATTACCGTTAAGACAAAACAATTTCACTTTTTATAAGGTCTGACAGTAAAAATCTAGATACTTTTCACCTTATATGAGATTTGTTAAATGGAACTCACTGTATATCAGTACTGATCTTCATACAGAAACTCAAAGTTAGTGTTTGTTACTTTTAGATATCAGAGGGTTATGAGTTAGACGAATGAATCGCAGTAGCCAACAATTTGTTGAAGTGTAATTTCTTTCAGTGTCAAATATCAACAAACGTTCGTAATTATTAATAGATTGGTACAACGTTTCCTACTTTCTACTGATACTTTATACGACATTATTTAACTTTGACTAACGAGAGCTGAAAAAGAAATTCCATAACAAGTGTAAACATTCAATAACCAACATGATTGTGAAAATAACCCGTTGATGTCAATTCAACTTGTCAAGTACGTGCTTATTTAGTCGACCTTGAGTTGAAATGTTTGTATGAAGGTTATTAATACAATCCGACTATCCATATCGAAAATAAAAGGGGACTTAAAACCGCAACCTGTTAGTTGAAAGTTAAGTGTCTTAATAGCTCAACCGCCGCTCCAGTATTTATAACAAAATAAAGATGAAGTACTGGCCAACATCAGTGCATAAGCATTACAGAATAGGTTTCTTTTTTACTTCAAGATATAACTCATTTATAGGTATAGCATTACACTAAACATTTTAAGTAATTTTCTTAGTAAAATGGGGCAGTGTTTGTCACTGAAAGGAGTACCAAAGAAGTACATTAACCTTATAAAGGCTCTCTACTCGAACACAACTGGTAGAGTGAGAGCTTATGGCGAACTATCATCAGAATTGATCACCTCAAGTGGTGTTCGTCAGGGCTGTCCACTCTCCCCATTCTTGTTCAACTTTGTCATTGACGTACTTTTAGAGATAACACTCTCCTCATCTAAATATACAGGGGTTGAACTTCTACCAGGAGGTTCACTTGTTGACTTAGAATATGCTGATGACATAGTTTTATTTGGTGAAGACGCTGACAAAATGCAGAGTCTTCTGACCACTCTAAGCAACAATGCAAGCATGTTCGGGATGCGATTCTCTCCCTTGAAATGCAAAATGTTGCTTCAGGATTGGGTTACATCGACACCCGAACTAGTGATAGGGAGTGAAGTAGTTGAGTGTGTCGATCGCTTCACTTATCTTGGAAGTCTCATCAGCCCTTGTGGTTTAGTGTGTGACGAAATCTCAGCACGGATACAGAAGGCTCGACTAGCTTTTGCCAACTTGCGTCATTTATGGCGTAGGCGAAATATCCGTCTATCAACCAAAGGACGTGTTTACTGCGCAGCAGTTCGTTCCGTCCTACTTTATGGCAGTGAAACATGGCCGGTAAGAGTAGAGGATATCCGTAGGTTACTAGTATTTGATCATAGGTGTCTTCGAAACATTGCTCGTATATCCTGGGACCATCGAGTAAGTAACACAGTTGTTAGGAAACGGGTACTAGGTAAGGATGGCAAATCAATTGATGAAGTAGTGAAACTTCATCACTTGAGATGGCTGGGACACGTGTTACGTATGCCCAACGACCGACTGCCTCGACGTGCTATGTTCAGTGGTATAGGAGTAGGTTGGAAGGATGCTAGGGGCGGCCAAACCAAAACATGGCACAACTCCATGAAGTCACTGACAAGTGAACTGAGTCATGTTGGCAGGTGTAGACTACCTGGTTGGGGACCGCGAGATGACAGCAACTGATGGTTAGAGACCCTGAATGACATGGCTCAAAATCGTTTGCAATGACGCAGGTGCATCCACTCTCTGTGTTCTCCCAAATTCTAATCTTCTGAATTCTTCATGTCCCTTTTTTCCTCTTTCCAAATTTCTTTCACTGGATTATACTCTTTAAATAACATCTCCAAACCCTAATCTTCCCGATTACTGCTTATACTCTTATTACCTCTACCACTACGGGATTTGAATCGACAACTGCATTTCTGTGCTAATGTGGTGTGGCAACTCGAACTGATGTACGAACGTACGAAGTTCTACGTTGTTACTGACTGACTGACTTAGTAAAATGGAAGCATGGCAAGCATAGTTGGCAGTTCTCATTTACGTGAAATTCTTCCAACAATACGTTTCCAATGAATGTTTTTTATCTACTTGAAACAGATTAACCCAAACCAAAATAGTGTTTTACACAATGATGAAAAGAACCGGTTGGTGAATACAGTTAAAATTAACTTAGGTAATTTCTTGTTTCACTTCTCAGAGAATGAATTAATAATAAATTATCAACCGTCTTTCGTACTTTTGATAAGAAAAAGTATTAGTCGTCTGGTTTAAGCAGATCGGAAATCAGTGGTTACTGCAATGATTACACACTAAGCCTATGATGAGTAAATCCTGTTATCAAACTAGTAAAATTTATTCATAAAGCTAATAATATATATAATAATGCATTGTATTTCGTATGTGATTATTAGAAAAGCACACAAACATCTATAATGCACCTCGGTCTCACTTTCTGAAGTATATTGTTAGTACAAGGGGTTGAAACATGTTGGATAAGATGTAGCTATTGTAACCTCGAAGTCGAATGGCCTTCGAAGTGATTGGTCCCCGTTTTATATATAAAAACAAGTTATTAAAATGGAAGTATATTCGGCTGCCGAGTGGTGGATTTCGTTACTAGGATTTAACGAACAATATCAAGTCTATATTCAATAACACTTATCATTTCTGATCGTAATGTGTTATGATCCTTATTACCTTTCTCTCTCTCTCCCTACCGGTTCAAGACGGTTAAGTTTTAAAGTGATCCGATTAAATAAATCATGCTATTAATTTTCTCTTCGTAAGAAAATGTCATTCGTCCAAAAAAGACAACAAGTATCATTTTGCATGTCAAAAAAATTTGTGACCCTTAGAGTGATTGATACTAGATTAAAGTTCTAACCAGATTGTTAGCCACCCTTAAGGCTAAAAATAACGAATCCTAGAAAATTAATTGTAGACAAATATTGATACGTTCTGCAAAAACGCCAGATGTCCATTACGTTTACAAGAGGGATATTTTTAACATAAATAAGCAAATCCATAGATTATTATTATAAAATTCTTCAATTAATGTAAATATATTTGTTCACGCTTTCAAAAGATCTGTAATCACATTGTAATTGTTGTTGCTAGATTCGAGACAATACTATCGTTATTGAATGAGCTCAAATTGATGAAAACAAGAAATGGAATTATTTCACGAAATCAGCGACCTTAATCTAGCCTTAGGACTGTAGGGTTAGTAGATAAAGTATAGACCACAGACCAGAAATAGAACACAATAGATATTAAGATAGAACAGACCGATGGAGATCTAAAATTCGCATATACTTCTGAATAGTGAACAATAACTTGTTACTCGAATTCAAATAACATGGAATCTTTCGATGCTTGTTGGTTAGTTGAGACAGGATCATACTGATGCTAAATTTCACTCATATATCCTATCTAACTATTAAGATGAGTTTTGAAAGGGACATTCACCATCACCACCACCACATTGGACAGCGCTTCAAAAAACGCTTACTAGTGTGAATAATGCAACTTGATGTAGAGGTTCATGGCAATTTGACGTAAACAGTCAATCATTTACTCAAATTACTGGTACTTTAATGATTATTCATCAACTGTGCGACCCAAACTATGTATCAGTAAATTATCAGCTAATAACAAAGTCTAGTTACTGGCAAAGATCAACTGAATATGCAAATTATTTGCCTGTCGTCCGCTCTATTCGACTTCATTTCCCGGTGACATTTTATAACCAAACACTATCCTAGAATTGTGTTCGTCTTAATGAATAGTTACTATACTATAGGTTTTGGATTAATATCACTAAAATTAAACTATTAAAGTTATAATAGTAATAGATTGATTATCTTGCACAAGATACGTCCGAACTCAGTTTATTTCTATAATACTCAAAGTTTTAAGACAAATAATAATTGGAGGTTACTGTTTTGTGTTAAGAACTACCAATTCTTCCATTTACTGCATTGTCTTAACAATAAAAGCAGAGGAAATCCGTGAAGACATAAATCTAAAATTATAGATGACTGAAAGTAAGTAAACATAAATGAACTTCATGATGAAATACTATTTATTGTACAAATTTGAACCAAATTTACAGAAGCAGAAGTAAAAATATAGTCCGAATTATAGTCTCGTTCCTTTTCTGACCGTGATCCAACCGTCATCATCAGGTTTGTTACTGTATTCCATACGTTTCTTGAAATAATTCTGTAGAATCGCTTCCGAATCACTTTTAGCCTTTTGATAATCTATTATCCATTCGGGATTCCGAGATAAATAGCATTCTGTTATAATGAAAATAACCTAGGACATAATTCTAACATACCAGGAATGTTAACATCGGTCAATTCGAACTCGTAAGTTGTATTCATTGGAGATACTAGAATTTTTTCTACACATTCTGATTTGTTAAATTCAAAGACACATCGAGCTTCAGGCTAATGAATTTCCAAAAGTTAACCAGACAAAATAATTGCAAAAACCTACTGGTGAGTAGCGTAAACTAGTTATTTCACCAAATAATTTAAAGAAATTCAACAATGACTTCTATACAGTTTGAAATAAATTACCAAACAATTACCGCGTCCATTAAAGGATGTACATTGTAAATTAGAACAGATTTTTTCCCCAATTTTTCGGCATACATAAAGTGAGTAATACATTTACCCAAACTCACAGGAATCGCTACAATTATTTGAAATAAACGAATATACTATTGTGTAAAACTGATTTGTTAAAGGTTTATACATAATCAGTAGCGACTGGTCTATACATATATTGAATATTTCACTCAAATGATCCTACAATCCTTGTATATCTAGAGATTCGAAATAAAAAACTGGACACTTGTATTTGTCTATTGAAATACGAAACACGTTCTCAATGAATTTGAAAGACATTTTGGATTTACTAATTATCAACAGGTTGATGTGCGACAATATAAGCCACATCAATGTCGCAAAAAATGATGGTACTAGCAAATTTCCTAAATCCTACGTAAAGTGAGATGACAATCCGTAATATGATGGAAAGCAGTGTGCACAACACTGAAATATCTTTATTTACACTTAATTATGAAAACAACCTAACCAAATAAAATAAAAGGTTTATTTTGTCAGACACTTTCGTTAATAACGAGATGGACCGAATTTAAATAGCCCCAGTAAATAACTAAAGAATTGCTGGTTTAACAAAAGTAGACATCATTTCAAGCCTACCGGTTAGTCCTTTAATTACCAGTGGTTCATTCATCATCATTTAGCTTGGTCTGTGTTTGCAGTAATAATATACAATGGCAACTTGATCTAAAATGGGCAAAGTAGGGGATATTTAAAAACTTTAGGCTGGTAACTAATTAAAGAAGCAAATCTAAAGATCAACATAATAAATACGAAAATTCAAGTGGCAGATTAGTTCCTATTCTTTGAAAGATACTATGCAGTAAATAATCCACGATTAAAAAGTGAAAATCTGAAATGGTAACAAGAAAATCTTCTCTATCTAGGAAGGAGTGTATATCCACCCAACACAACATGAATGCCACGGTATTTCTGCCTGATGGATTTCTGAGGTATCTTCAGCAAATTCTTTTTCGAACTACTCAGGAATCCTACTGTTATAATATTTTATATTAGAATATGAAAAGTATGTTAACTGAAAATATGTGGCCAGCTTTCTAAAATGCTGGGTTTTTCTACTTTCTCACTAAATAAAGACAAAAACTTTCGGTGTATTAGTCTGTGAGGTGATAAACCTTAGGGTTATTTCCTTCGAGATAACGACTTAATAAGCATACATATAACTGCTGTATTTCGATGCAATCTAAAGGTATAAAATTTTATACTTTACCAGCTTGAGAATTACTGAGTGACGTTTTACAGAAATAAGTTAAGCAGCCTTTTTTACATTCGCTTGAAAGCAATAACCCCAAAATAAAGGATAATATTTACACAAAAAATTCAAACTATTAAACCTAAATTTTCTTTGAACATAATTTTATGATGCAGTAACAGACATTTCAGAAGCATATCTAGTGGAGGGTTCAAATCCCTTTATACCTGAATCAGAACGTAATATTTGTAACGTGTCCGGCTCACAGCAAGAAAATACTGTGCTGAATTTTATATTGAGTCAACTTATCCCATTTCTAATGACAGTGTACCAGATATTGATTCTCAGAATAATGCATATGATTTTGATGAACCTTCTTATAACAATGAGGGAAATATGTCAGCTGAGTCGAATGATGGCCAAAAATCTAATCTAATTCTGTTAGACGTTGACTTTCTTAATGACTCGTTATCAGCTAACGAGATTCATAATGAATTTGAAAATAATGAACTCAGATCAAAGGTTGTTCATCATCATCTAGTCATCCAGTCAATACGAGAAACATGGTTTAAATAAAGTCCTACTAGTTATAATTTGGAGCCATAAGGACCCAACATTATTTCGAGGAGGAGGAGAATGTTGGAGAATTAAAAGTTATGCATACTTTTTTTTAAGAAAAATCAAAACGCACAGACATGTCAGTCTCTGTGCAAGGAAAAAGTGATAATTCTTCATTGCCTAGACGATGGACTAATCGAAAGCACAAGCCAGTCACTCAGTTGCAGTTGGACCCTAGCACCAGATCCTACGAATCTGCTCAGAGGGGAGGTGTTAGCGGGACATAGACTAGATTAAAGCATGCTCAATGCATGATTGCTTTGGTGCACGCTGATTGGCTGATTCTTATCCAATCAGCACTAGTCGATAGTCGGAGAATACTCTGGATTTTTCTTATGTAAAAACTATAAATATACCGACGTTTACCCCTATTGTGCTTCCTACTGGCTTCTGACTTGCTATTTGGAATATAATCTTTTCCCTGTTCAACCGTGTTCTGATTTGGGGACTTGTCGAGTGAATCGGTGTCCGAGAATACTAAGCAATAGGAATAGCTGGGTCATTAACCGTAAGAAAATAGAATTATAACAATAATTCAAGTCAATGTTCCAGGAGCTACAGTCCCGGAGAAAGGGACTCCATCCCCTAGTCTTCGAAAAATTGGAAAATCCAACTAGCATCCAAGAGATTTCATGAAATCAGCTATTACTGAAAGGCGCACCAAAGAAATACATAAACCGACTAAAGGCTTAATCTCGATAGTGTCGACCGAATCAAAGCTTCCGAAGTACTATAATCCAAACTAGTTGTATCAAGTAATACTTGTCAGGAATATGGATTTCCACCATTTACCGTTAGCATTTTTACAGACATGCTTTTAGAATCCTCATAAGCTAAGAGATCTAGATGATATAGTATTACTTAATAAAGAGATTGATAGAACATTGAGTCTCTCAAATGCTTTGAATAAGGGTGCAAAAACTATTTGAATGCGTTCCTATTCCTTTAAACATGAAATATAGCTGCAATACCAGTCTGCATCAATGCCTAACCCGATTACAAGCAACCAGATAGTTGAGCGAGCTGATTCATTACTTGTCTTTGGGGTGCTATCAACCCTGGTAAGTTGGCGATTGAATAAATTTTAGCATAGATACATAAGATTGGTTAGGGGTGCAAATAGGATATTTGTGTTTGTCAAGTGGTAATTATTTTGATGATAGTTGGCTTTCTACTGCGGTACCCCTGTGACAGCCAATAAACTTTGATCATAGATCTTTACAAAGCGTTACTGATGCATGAAACTAAGTCTTAAAAAACGCATAAAATGAAAATTCCAGAAATTCAATACGACTGATTGGGGCATCTTGGCATGAGATGTGTTTGAGCCTTAGTGTTTTAAGTTACACTGCTTTGTGGAACACTAATGGCCTGTTGTACCGCGTGAGCTATATTAATTGGAAGAACTTAAGGTCCACTATGTATTCGAACGTCTACTAATGATACTGCTAATGGTTTGTAATTGTCCAGACAGATTTTAGTGGTCACTCATATGCTAAATTGGCTTGTTGGTCAATTTAAATAGTAGACCTTGGTGGTTACTTTCTACGTTTTTTTATCTCCCCGTGTCCCTTGTACATAATACACATCACTATCACAAAATAATGAGTAAAACAGTTGTGTAAGCGAAGTAGGTCAGAAATAATACATCAATATAGCACGAACGGCCCGTCAGTTTTTAGTGTTTATGTAGTCGCGAAGTAGGATGAACCTGTACTATTAAGGCTACAAAACGCCTGGATCGTGTTCAGTTCTCTGAAAACCAATATGACGGTAGATGATCCCAACACAGGATACATACATATATTTAATGGTGAATAAAGATTTATCTTGCCAGTATTTATATAGTTATCCCACTGATCAATACATGTATTTACAAGTGGATACCTTAATGCGGTGATCCTACGAGCGACTAATCGAGTTAGCTAGAGCCCCTTAGGTCATAAACACTGTAGGAAAATGTAACGATCCTACAGCTAACAAATACCATTATTCTGTGACCCGCGAAAGAACAGGAAAATGTATTTAAACTGTATCAAATGGTGAGGATTCATATGTACTTGTTATATTCAGTGATGACTGAATGTTTCCCGATCCCACTTTATCTTGTTTCGTGGACGAATTTTTCAAATGTTTACCCTACTGCACTGTTGATAAGTGATCTGGCAACCATAATGATAATGAGCAAAGTCCGATCACAGGAAAAGAACCCAAGGGACGGTGGGTCTATTTACGAAAAGTATAGATCCAAGACTCCGTTGAGGCTCTATAATTCAAATGAAAACAATTTAATTCCTTCATTGAAGATTAACTGGATGGAAGGTCTGGTGCCAACAATCATGATAACTTCAGTACCAAATTGATACATTAAGGATGAAGTTAAAAGGCTCATAATTGAATCCACATGGTGCAGATACATGTTGGAGCCCATTCACGCTTTGGATAACGAGTAGGACTAGCTTTAATCACTGGATAGTGACTGTGCAAACGTTTAGCCGTCTGCAATAAACGGGCAGTTACGGATTGACTAGTTTGCCTTGTTAGTCAGCTGGGCGAGACTCTAATTTATGGACGAGCCAATCAGAAGCGTTTTAGAGATCTCAAGTTTACGGCGCCGACTTCAGTGCCTAATGCTAACGTACGATCGTTTTACAGGGGATTTTATACAAAACGTGATAATTTAGCGGCTATAATAAATAGAACGGCGAGACTATAATTTGTGGACGAACCAATCAGGTATAAGATAATAGATCTCGGATTCGGGCCCGAAAGCCTTTCATCCATTTGGCTAAATAGATTTCTGGCATTAAGGCTGATGTCAGTTCGTGATGAAAACCCCATATATAATTCCTAACTGAGGCAAACTATGACAATTATCGCGAACTGGATAATAAAAGTACCAGTAACACTGGCTGCAGCCAGGTACTACAATATATATGGATGATTGGAGAGCCTACAGACTCCTGCATAGGCTTGGCTATGTGCATCGCGTCGTTATCCACAAGTGGCATTTTGTGTAATCAACAACCGAAGTGCATATAAACAATATTGAAACTATGTGGTCGAGGCTGAAAGACTTTTTGAGAATTTATCATGGCTCCAGAGGTCGACTATTCTGTAGCCGTATGAATGATTTCCTCTACTGCATGCATTACGATTTTAGAACCTCTTTCTAACCTTAACAAGTTTTTGAACCACGTATAAGAAGTGTATCCACTATATTTCCTTGGTTTTGTAATAATATATTTTCGCTCAACACCTACTGTTCGCTGATTGACTAATATTCTCTAGGTCACTTAAAATTCGTTCAAAGGTCGTCCATAAGTTAGAGTCTCGCCGAAACCTTTATAATATTATAACCGATATTCGTGAGACCGCATTTGGAATATGGGATTCGAGCAGCAAGTCCTTGTTTCATGTATGAGGCAGATATGCTGGAACGCGTCTAACGACAAGAGACTAAAGTGGTAAAAGATCTATCTGACCTATATTATGAGGACAGACTGAGACACCTCAACTTATTCTCGTTATCTTACCGTAGAATACAGGGTGATCTAATATTGGCTTACTGCATACTGAACGATGACCTTGGTATTAATGTCTTATTCCTTCCTTCCGTCCAGGACTGATCATTTGAGAGGACATTCTAAGAAATTTCAAAAACCGAGATCACATAGTCTACGTCTGGAGTTTCGTTTCTCGCAACGAGTAGTGAACTACCGAGATCCTCTACCAAAACACGTGATATCAGCACCCGGTAATACATTCACAGTGTTACAAATTGAAAGGACAATAGGCCTCCTATTCTTATTACTGTAGCCCTAATACTAATTCCTTAACTAACTTACAACCATCTAATGAACTGAGTAAGTTGATGAACTTTTTCAAGCTCACTTTAGCCTTTCTTAAACGTCACCCATAAGTAATATTCCCACCGATGTTGTATATGCAGAAACATCTCTTGACACTAGATCTATTCACCTCAATAACGAAAACTATATAAACAATACCATAAATATCCAAATGCTACTATACAGTCAAAAGTGTGAGTCTTTTAATTCGAAAAATGCTTCAATAACACCTCTGAAGTAGTTGCAGAGAAAACAAACACACCTTGTCGTAGCGGAAATTTTGAGACGAGCGAACATCGACCTTCAAGTAAGTCATTAAAATGGTTCAGATAGTTCAAATGGTTGTGGACAGAATAGAAGAAGCTTTTGCTTAACACGCTTCCGTTTCTAGTGGCAGGGGATCATCAATATCTCCAGGCAGGAACCTAAATATATTAACTATAATAGATTAGAAAAAAAGAAATTGGTAACTCATAATAAGATGTTATCCATAGTCCTTAAGAATAGGTCAAGTTTCCTCTTAAAGGACTCCTGAAAAGTCGCCTGGAATAGTTCAGTAGGCAGCGAATTCCAGCCTTTGACAACTCTTAAGGAGTAGAAGTTGTGTCTACAGTTCGTTCTGCTATGTTGTATCTCCAATTTCTGGGTGTCACCCCTTAGACTTGTATTGGGACTAAGCTTAAGTAGGTGTTTAAGAGGATGTCTAGAAGTTTCAAGGATACTGTAAGCCATCAGAATGTCACCTCTAAGATGCCTATACTCTAATGTGTGAAGGTTAAGTGATTGGAGGTGCTCTTCATATGGTTTAAATTTGAGTCCCCGAACTGATTTCGTTGGATACGCTCCAGAGTGTCCTTATCCTTTTGAAGTGTGGGAGGGGATACTATGTTTCCTTACTCTAAATGAGGACAAATAAAACTGATGAATATTACGTGGAAAGTTTTTCCGTCAAACTGGTCAAAAATACGCTTCAATGTCACCAGTACAAGGCTTGCTCGAAAGGCATTTTTGTCACAGTTAGCGTAAGACTTCAAATCGTAGGGTACCAGGACTCCTAAATCTTTTTCGACTCGGAATACTACTAGAGGGGAGTTTATTAAGTTGTAACTGTAGTCTGCTACATGCCGCAGATGGCCTACTTTACACTTTGAAGTGTTAAAGGTAATTCCGTTGTCATCTGCCAAACTTTGAAGTCGAGTCAGATCCTCCTGAATTGCCTGTATATCCTCTTGGTTGCGTATCTCTCTCCAGAGTTTCACATAATCAGCAAAAGTAATAAGTCTGACGATACCTGTTGTGGAAGATCATTTATATAAATCAAGAAGATAAGAGGTCCTAGTACTGAGCCCTGAGGTCTCCACCAGGACATTCCATAGCCTGAGATAAAGTGAAGTTAACCCTGACCTTAGAATGTCGATTTTTCATATATGAAGTGAGCCAATCAATCAGAGGTGGTCTGATATCAATCGTTTGAGCTTGATGATAAGACATATATGGTTAACCCTATCAAAAGCTTTTGAGAAATCAAGGTAAATGATACCAACCTTCCCCTTGCAATCAAGGATGCATGCCCATCTGTCCACCGCAGTCGGCAGGTTAGTTATACAAGAATAACCCTTCCTGAAACCATGCTGTTGGGGTGAGAAGAAGTTTACGGACCATCGCATATCAGGGACTTCATGATTTTTGAAGAGAAGAGCCACCAGTCGGTGACTTGAAGGTTCGCTGCGTCGACCTCCCTTGGAAATTGGTGTGATGTGAGCCAGCTTCCAATGTTCCGGTAGTTTGCCTCGGCTTAGTGAATATGAGAATATCATCCTAAGTGGTGTTGCCAGGATTGAAGCTGCTTCCCTCAGTATAACAGAATAAACCATATCTGATCCAGGACAAATGTCTTTTCTTAGGTGCTGCAGTTTCCGGAACACCAAGTCAGCGCTCGGGTTCACCTCGGAAAGTCCTGTGCAGTTGCAGATGAAGCTGTCATCAGTATAGTTGATGTGGGTCGGCTGCAATGTCAGGGAGTATTGTTCAGCCAAAAGGTTAGCGGCGTCGTCGTCGTTATCGGTAGGGCCATTGGGACCTAGCAGTTGGGGAACTCCAGTGTTGGCTTGATGAAAAGCCGCTGCGTAACGGAATAAGCTTTTCGGATTGGAGACAAATTTATCCATAAGCTTTATCTGGTATTGAAGCCTGTCTTCTCTTATAGCCTTCGTGCATATATTCCTTGTATGTTTGTGTTGCCTGTACGCGCCGTTATTGTCAGTTCGTTTGCATTCTACCAACTGTGCCCTTTGTGGCTTAGCAGGCGAAGAGTAAGGTTCTTATTGGTTGTAGGTTTCTTGAAGCTTTTGGAGGCCATTTGAGGAACTGACTGCTTTGTAGCACATGAGGGCGTGTGCAGTAAGAAGTCTCAATGAGTATCCACATCAAGTTGAAGGTGGACATCCCAATCCACCTGTTACAGATAGTCCTGTAGAGCTGACACATCTAACCGTTTAGAATTACAGCGCCCGTTGTTGGTGGGATATCTTGGCACAGTTTTGCTGAAAAAAAGAGCTATAACATCGTGATCGCTCTTCCCAAGAGGAGCCAGGATTGAGAGGTTGTCAACTAGAAATTCTTCGTTCGTAAATACCTAGTATAAGCGCGACGGTATCTGACCGTTTCTACAACGAGTTGCCGACTTCACATTTTCGTACAATTCAAAATTCTAAATGGAGTTGGAGAACCAAGCTTCAGTTGAGTTTTCACCTTCAATATACGTATGTTCCGCGTGTTACATGAAGTAGCCTCGGAATATTTTGGTGCTTAGACTCCTTTCCCCGAGTGAGCCGTGTGACCGTCAAAGGCTCTATTCTAGGAAGTTCGAGCTTCTTGTTCAATTCACCCCAGAGCATCCCGTCATTTTTGGCATGCAAACGGAGAGGGAGGTCAGGGTTGTCTTTGAGGTTCATGATTATAAGAGAGTCATCACGAACCGTTATTGTTTTCCCAGTTTTTTCGGTACGTTCAGATTCAGCAACTTGATGTTTGGAGGTTGAAGCACGTTTCTGATTTCTAGGCTCTTTGATGACCGGACGGACATTCTCAGGGGTAGACTATGCGATCAAATCACCAGTTCATTTCCGTACAATTCTTGGGATGTTCAGCTTAGACGGTGACATCTGGTTCTTTTCAGCTCTGTTGACGTGGGTTCAACCGCCTACAGAGTTTTAGGGAACCACTGTTGCATTCAAGGATCCTGAGCTGGTAGACCCGACCAAGACCAAATAATATACTACTGGATATTCTTTTTACACGCCTAACCATAAACCACTGATAATGTCAACCAAAAGGCAAAAAAGTTATATTTTAATATTTTTCGGGAAAGGCCAGTTATGTACATCAATGTAAACAGCATCAAACACTGTGAGCTATTTGTTCTTTTATCTCTGACATTGAAATCGTGAGTGAAGGTTGCGGAGCTTTTGAATGTCAGTGCTATTGCACTAACAAATGTAATTATTAAGTTTAACATAAAACTAACATGTCAGACCCAGGTCATAGCATCAATGTGATTTTTGGTAAGAGATTTCTAATTTTATTTATTCCGATTAGGGGGTCAAAAGTATTTGGTCCCTTTACCATTGAATAGCGATGCAACATTACTGGACTTAATGAAGTCAATAGACTCTATTTTACACATTCCATTTGATAAACAAAGAATAATATACAAAGGTACACTACAACCATACCCACTTGATATATTGTAGGAAGATCTCTTACTGATCCTGATGCATTAATTTCTTCATCCGGTCTCACTCCTGGGTCTAGAGTTATGATTCTTGGTTCAGTAAGTCAGTACAAATAGTTTAATTAGTCTGTTCCGCCAAACGTTGATAAACTTAATCCAGATGAGGCCGTAAAACTTGTCAAGGCAAAAGACACGTCTGATGCAGTCGATTTACAACTAAAAGACCTCTCAAACAAGCTAGATACTATTGTAAGTTCAACTCAAAAGATTTACAAATCATGTTTATTTGATCCCGAATATTTACCTGAGTGATTTTTAAAGGCATTGTGTTCACCCCCCAGAGCCATTTTCTAGAATGCAATAGTTTGGTCGGTTAACTGTTATTATTTCTATGTTTGAAGATAATTTCGGTGTTTGTATTCCGTGTTATGTACTACTGTTCATCGCGACTTCTCACCCGGTTGCACCAATAGTCGACCGGTACTATTTTCAGCTCGTAATTATCGTTGGAATATGTTCACCTATGCTTACAGAATAAACCATTATCATTTTCTAGGGATTATGTCAGGAACATTTCAACCCTAAGTATTAGAACAAATTGAGGGGGGAAGAGTCTAAGTATTTATTAAATGGGATTGTTGGTTTATTTAAAAACCGAAAAATTCGGTTAGGTAAATTACTCTTTTATTACCCACTTTTTTGACCTTGTCGAACTCTGGTTCATAATCCTTATTTGGTTCATTCTCAAATTTCCAATTGGTAAAGCTAGTTTTCATTCCATACAAGCCTGTGTTACATCAAATTATTTGCGAGCTTACATAGCGCTTGGGGAATTATGATTGGGAACTATAGTTCTCAATCATGCGAACCTATAGGCTCTTATTCTGAAGTTCATTTCTCATAAACTGTTCGTAGCCAACATCTGATAAGAGCCTGAAGTCAAATTTACGCAGACAGAATTTCATCCTACAAAGTAAAGCAAATTGATCAACATTTGAAGATTCTAAGCATCTACACCTGTGCATTGCAGAGGCTTGCCTACTTTAACGTTTTCTATCCATCCTTCTGATGATAGTTTTTATTCAATACTATAAATGTAGTGAAACATGAAATTCTCAACAGTTCAGTTTTTCACCAAAATCTATAAATATATCTTTGGGAAATTTTGGAACTCTATTGCCGCGACATCGACACCAAAGTGAGTGAGTCATATATATATATATATATATATATATATATTATATATATATATATATATATATATATATATATTCCGATCAATGAACTACAATGTTAACCTCATCAAACTGATATACTAATTTCGATAATATAATCAGAAGACGAAGATTATCAGAACTATGTGATATATTAGCGCAAGACATTTCGAACAATCTGATCACACACATACTTGTTAAGAGCATTTATATATAAAAATAAAAGGTCAACTAAACTGGAAACGGGGTAAGAGGAGATAAGGATAATGATAAGAGCAATAATAATAATAATAATAATAATAATAATGTGAACACAATTTGAAACCTAATCACTCTGGATAATAAGTCAGTATTACCAGGGTAGGTTTAAGGTAAGAACAAACTGTTTTTGAACACACAAAAGGGGTTTAAGTTTTCGTATGGCTAAGGCTTCAATAAACCTCAGTATACACCCTTTTACACTTTTATGCAATACCACAAAAGCTGAGTTTAGATCAGTCTTGTGACCTGTTTCAATTATGTGTTTAGCAATAGAGGATGATGGATGTTTATCCTCTGCTCCTATTGGGTCACCTGATTGTATTTGTTGTATTCATATGTGTGATCAGATTGTTCGAAATGTATTGCGCTAATATATATAATCTTCGTCTTTTAATTACATTATCGAAATTTATAAAAGGGACTAATTGATATACTAATGCCTGAATGATTTTTGCTTACTTACTTCTGTTACCTTTCATGAAGAAGCATAGGCTGACCATCAGCATTCTCCACCAAACTATGTCCTGGGCAGTTGTTTCCAGTTGCTATTGAGCCTTTTCATGTCTGCTTCCAATTCTCGGTTCAGTGTTCATTGGCCTTCCTCTTTTTCTCGTTTCCCTTCAGGATTCCAGGTTAGCGCTTGCTTCGTATTGTAGTTTGATGATTTCCTCAATATGTATCCTCTCCACTTCCATCGTCTTTCCTTAATTTCTTCCTCAGCCGGAAGTTGGTTTGTTCTCCCCACAATATGTTATTGCTGATGATATCCGGTCAACAGGCATTCAGTATCTTATGTCGATAATTGTTTATGAATACCTGTACATTTTTCATGATGATTGTGTTAGTTCTCGAAATTTCAACTCCATACAGTAGAACCGTCTTGACGTTCGTATTGAAGATTCTGACTGATATTGGTTAACAGTTGTTTTGAGTTCCATATGTTCTTCAACTGTAGGAATGCTGTCCTTATTTTGCCAATCCTTGCCTTTACTTCTGCATCATATCCTCCACGTTCATCGATGATGCTACCCAGATAGGTGAAAGTTTCCACCTCTTCCATCGTTTCTCCATCAAGTGTGATTAGGTAGGTTGGTGTTCTCTGTGTTGTATTTGAGGATCTTGCTTTTTCCCTTGTGTATGTTGAGGCCTACTGATGCAGAGGCTTCTGATACACCGGTTGTCTTCATCTGCATTTGTTACTGTGTATGGAATAGAAGGACTCGGTCATCTGTAAATTACAAATCTAATTGATTCCGAGCTGTCCATTATATTCCATGCTTCCTCTCAGATATCGAGGTCTTCATAATCCGGTCAACCATCAGAAAAAAAGAAAGGGGGAGAGTAAGCAACCTTGTCTGACACTGGTCCTCACTCGGAATGTATCTGTTAGCTGTCCATGCACGATATTGCAGTGTAGTCCGTCGTATGGATTCCGTATAATGTTGACGATCTCAGCTATTCACACTATAGTGCCGAAGAAGTTTCCATGATGTTCTATCCACATTGTCAAATCTTTTTCATAATCAATGAAGTTGATGTATAGTGACGAGTTCCATTCAACTGATTGTTCAGCGGTGATTCGTAGTGTGGCGATTTGGTCTGTGCACAACCGATCCTTACGGAGTCCGTCCTGTTGACCTCGAATTTGAGCGTCTACTGCGTCTTCCATCCGGTTCAGCAACACTCTGTTGAGGACTTTTCCTGGTACTAACAATAGTGTGATGTCTCTGTAGTTCTCACATTTGTTCAGATCTTCTTTCTTTGGTATCTTGCTGAGTTGTTCTTCTTTCCAACCCGTTGGCACTTGTTCTTCCTCCCAAACCTTCCTGAATAGAACGTGGAGCATCTTTGCAGTTAGTTTGGTCTGACTTCGGTGCTTCTGCTGGTATATTGCCAGATTCTGCTGCCTACCCACTATTGATTTATCTGATGGGCATCCTGATTTCTTCGATCGTTGGTGGAGCAACATCTATAGGGAGATCTGTGTGTGCTGCTTCGATGTCCGGTGGATTCAATGGAGCTGATCTATTCAAGAGTTCCTTAAAGTACTCTACCCATCTGTTCCGCTGTTCTTGAATTTCAGTGATTGATCTGCCTTCTTGGTCTTTGACCGGTCTCTCTGGTTTACTATATCTCCCTGCTAAATTCTTCTTTGTATTATAAAGCTGTTACATATTTCCTTCTCTTGCAGCTTTTTCCGCTGGCATTGCTAGGACTTCCACGTATTTCTGCTTGTCGACTCTAATGCTTTCCTTCACTTACTTATTTGCTTTTGTGTATTCAGCTTGTGCCTTGAATTTCTCTGCTCTCGTTTGGCTGTTGTTGATTTCTGTCTTTTTGTTCTACCCGTCTTGATTCTTGTTCAGGGTTTTCGATGGAGATCTATTCCTTATGATGATGTTGCGGCACGGAACCTCCTGATACGTTGAAGTTAGGGGTTTTTCGATCTTTTTCAAATTTTCCTCCATGGTAGTTTTCGCATCTTCGAGTAGATCTCGTAAGGCCTGGAACCTGTTGTTGAGAGTTATCTTAAATTGGTTGGGTTTGTTAGTATCTCATAGGAAGGCTGTATTGGACCTTTGTACTACTGTTTCTCCAGTTTTCAAGTGTTTCTTTAGCTTCAGTTTCCTCTTGGACACAACCCGGTGGTGATCTGAGGCTATATCAGCTCCTCTCCTGGTTCTCACGTCGTCCGTTGACCTACTGAATGTTTTACTGATGTAAATGTGGTCGATCCGGTTCTCCGTAGTGTGGCCTGGTGAGATCCACGTAGCTCTGTGTATGGGTTTGTGTGGGAATATTGTGCCGTCTGTAATCAATTTGTTGAACACACATGGGTTTGCAAATCTCTTCCCATTTTCGTTCCTTTCTCCTAGTCCATGTTGTCCCATGATATCTTCCTATCCGGTGTTCTTCATTCCAACTTTAGCGTTTAGGTCTCACATTGGGATGGTCAGGTCGATTTCTCAGCACTTTGCTATGATTGCAGCCGCTCGTAGAACTGATCTTTATTGTCGTCATTGCTATAATTGGTGGGTGCATAACATTGGATAACATTCATTGTGATACCCTCCTTCGTTTTGAATGATGCCTTGATGATTCTGGATCCGTGAGATTTCCCTCCTACAAGTGCATTTCGTGCCTCTCCAGAAATTATCAGAGCAACTCCCCGCCTGTGTGGAGCATTTTTTTACTTGTGACTGGAGTACAGCAGTATCTTTCTCGTATCTAACCTTTGCTGTCCATCTTGGGTCCAATGGGTTTCACATATTCCGAGGGCCACCGTGTTGTATCTCCTGATTTCCGTATCTATTTGCCTGGTCTTCACAGTGTCCCACATTTTCGGGACGTTCCATGTACCTATATTAAATGTTGTTCTGGTTGCTAGAAGGGGCCTCGACCTCTTGACTTCCGTAGAATCTCGGTTTTTATCATGGCGTCCTAATTCTTCCTTGAACTCGGAGGGCAGAATTTAAGCATTTTGATTTGTTTATTCTGGTTATCGTATTTTAGAAAGTTTTTTTCTACGGGATGTGGTTGCTGACCCCATGTTCAACCGTCCTTTATCCGTGCTTGGGACTGGCATTAGCCATCAACGAGCTACAGGTGGTGTTAATCTCCGGACATACGAACTGCTTATAGGTTGTTGTTTTGGTTAGTTATTTGTATCTTTATAAATTCTATGTGTCACTATTTGTTTTGTTAAAGATTTTAAGTTATAATCCACACGCATTTTTGGTTTACTTTCTACATTTAGTTATCTCAAAGTAATTCTGATAGTTTAGAGGTAACTGCACACGTAAAGTCTACAATTGACATTATGGAGCAGTGCATGCGTACTCTTGAGCTTCTGGACTCTGTTCGGTTGCCATACAATTGCGAAAGTGAACGCGCTTGTCGTAAGAGGCTAGTAGACACAATACAAGTAGGTTTTAAGGTAACGTTTATCTTTATCGAAGCGGTTTATGTTTAACTTGATACCTTTTTAAACCGTGATTCCAAAAAGTAAATGCTTTGTTGTCGTTATGGTCAATGGCACACATGTAGTAGCGTTAACTCAGCTTATGTAAACGTTGCTCCTCTTCAAACTTTGAAAAACTTTCGGTTTCTTATGTATGAAAACATTGAGATATCTATTCACATTACCTTTCGTACCAACAAAATGCAGTGCAGACCTAATGTTCACATTAAAACATATTTCAGTAGAAGCACGAGTAAGCATCTTACAAATGAATATTCGAAATTCATATAGCGGCCATATCTTTACAAACATTTCCAAGTATTATGTGTTCAATTATTACTTTCGACGGTAACTTACTCCGTTGTTATAGACGACCTTAGTCAAATTCACTTCACAGACTCTTGGAGCTAATACTGTCCAATAAATTTTAAGTTCACTCATTGTACTTATATATATGGACAATACTACCCAAAAGACGAACGAACCTTACTTTATTTCCTTTTTGTCGAAGGATTTCTCGCGTTAATCCGTTCTCGAAATATAAGCTTTGTAAAGTAATAATCATATGAAATGATAAAATAATTTGTTAGTGTTCACTTGTTTTTCAAGTATATTAACCAATGTAGTTTTCCCTTTTATCTCTTTATTTCTTGACTCGTTCTTTCGAAATATTTTTCAGGAGTTTCTTGTACAGGCGGACAAGTTGAGAGCTGAATTTTTAAAGCTTATCAAAACATAACACTGATATCTTCTTTGTTAATACTTCTGTAACATAGTGTTTACTACAGTACTACTTTTGTCAGTAACTTAAAAAATAACATTACAGTTTGTTATACTTGTATTTTTCCTCTTCAATCACAAAAAATGACTATAAGCAATCAACAAGGGTAACTGTCATGGAAACAAACGTGACAAGTGATCTCAGTAAAAGCGGATAAAAAAATGAATGATTTCGTTGCATATTTTTCTCCTCTACCCCACCATTGGGTTTTCAGTCATCGCTGTAAGGCAGTAAACCTGTACACGAAAATAAAACAAATTTATTTAAGTTTGGAAGCTAAATTTATACTGAATAATGAATTTACGCTCATCTGAATGTTTACAGTTTATTACGTGATTTCATCGCAGACAAAGATGTGATGGAACTGAGAAAGGAAATTTAGAAACATTCCATTGCGAGAAATTATCACACGTTAAGCATATGGTATTATTCTTTGGTTAAAGTATAATTGACGGTTATGTTTAAAAAAGTTCTATTACCACAGAAAAGATATGTTAAGAATTAGTATTCGAACCACATTCATAGCTATCTTCTCAAGAATGTTTCATAGACTTGATAAAGTTTTTTATAAGGTTCCCAATGTCCTATTGTCTAAGTGGCTTGAAGCAACATACACAAAAAATGTAGGTAATGTATGGCACGATACAAATGATTATCGTTCCTTGTTATCAGGCTTCAAACTAGTGATCAACAAAAAGATGTTGAAGAACGAGCGAATAAAGTGTATTAAGTGGCACCATTTTCAGCACTTAGAAGTGGATAATAAGTGGATCCGTCCTACTGAGATGAATTAATTCTACGACGTTTCACCTTGTCTGCTATCTGTAACATTAGTTATACCGTAGAATTCAACTAGGAAGCTTGTACATTCTTGAACTTTCTATATCAACAACAAATGACTTCGATTACTTCTTTGACCTTGAGTATATGTTCTTGATATTTACAGGGTATCAAATATACAAGAACTTCGCGCACCTCATACTTACCATATCATTTGGGTATATTGGAGTTGTAGGTTCTGGTAATGTGTAAACAAATCTTTCGATTTTTCCACTTGCTTCAAGGTATATGTTTTTACATGACAAACATTCATCCATATTATTGCTAGCTTCAACACTTCGATAAAGGCCGATTGATATTGTTCCGGTACTTGCCAACTCAGCATGAAATAACTGACTGAAAGTCAGAATTTTCTGTAGAAATAGAAAAAAAAACATACGTGTGGTGTCTTGTGTTACATATTTACTGGCAAATTTCTTTGTATTTGGCAGTTCGTACAACATGTCCCAAGGGGCATTAGAATTTTGCCTCTTACGAGATCAGTACTGAGATCAAATGTTATATATAGGGATTTAACCCCTCTATTAGTAGTATGAATGGCGCTGTGATTGACTTCTATTCAGTGTATGTCTCTGTACAAAACTATACTTAAGTAAACAGTTTATTATTTCTGTATAATATTATGATAAAATCCAAGTGATCTTCATGATATAATTTACAAACATGGTCGCTGTTCTCGATCGAAATAAGATAGTAGAATTCCGTGCGTATTGTTCTCACTATTGGTTCGTCACGTTTAATGGTAATTCTTGAGCCAAAAGATCTTTATTAATAGAATTGGTCTTTACGTCACTTATGTTCTCTGTAGATTAAAAAACAAACACTAGGTTGAGGTTGTTTAGACCTTAAACTAATCATTTTACTGTCTTGTATACTGGAAAAGCTAATTCGTTCCTCCCCTCTTATTGTACAATAAAAATATATTTACATTTATTACCTGCGAAGCTAGATGATGAAGTTCTTTATCCAATTCCATAAGGGGTATTAAACGAAGTTGGGACAGCCGAACAGCAATCGCTTCGCCTGTAAATTAAGTAAGATTACAGAGCTCTTTACATTACTTTCTAGATATAGGAAATAAAGTAAGATTCCTCCAGTAAAATTTAAAATTATCCATAACTTAGAAAATAGCCTATTATGTAGCCCATATATGTCCTTTGTCTATCGGCTAGTAATTTACTCGATAAGTAAATGGACTACTGTATTTGCTAGAAAAGCGTAATTATATATTTCAGGAAATTAGTTGTATTTGTTGACTGTAGCAATTTAATCTTTTGATATTGTAAATAGTATTTATACAGAAGATTCGTAATTTGTAAGTGCTATTCAGTTCAATTTATTCAAAATATGGCTACTAATCAATATAAAGATCAGTATATTGAGACAGTTTTTATTTACCTTTGGTGCTTAATAAATCCCCATCTACCATTGTCTTTATCCTTGCATGGAATTATTTTATCATGTTCAATTATAACAGATGGAGAAGGGGGGAGTTTTGAAATACCTCGACCATTGATAAAGTATAGTTTTCACTTGAGAAATGGGAGAGACAATTTGAAGCCTAGCAACATAAGTTGATTGAGATATTGACTGTGTAATTTTCTAACTTCCGGTTTGTAATAACTTGGTAAAATTGAGCGTGGTCTCAAAATCTTTCTCTAAATTTGACTTTAGACAGAAATTCGAAGTAGGTCTCATCCAAATGTTTTTTTTTGTCATAATAGTTTTGACTGACATTAGTAGGGGGGGGTTGCATATTAACTATGTTGTTCGACTTACATACACTAAGTCCTAGGTTCGAGGCTCGCTTTACCTATTTCGGTTCGGGCGAACGGGTAGCATTATTAGCCGTGACACTTGAAATACTAGGGAAATTAGTTAGCTTATTTATTATTGTTCGCACGCTGACGGTGGCTGTTTGAAATCATAATTAAAATTAATAATTTCTAGAAATCATTCCAGTTTCTTACGATGGCAGTGACGCAAATGACGTTATTTGAATTTCTAGTCCTTTTAACCAGAAATATGTACTTAGTGTGATTCATGAATAATCCCCATCTTAATGGGTTACAACTTCTACTGATTCCCGTAACATCAATTGAGTCACCATGATGGATCAGTAATGCTTCGGAGGTAATTATGATCGTTTCTTAGTAGTCCACTTGTATTCTCGACTTTCAATGATCATACTTTACAGGCATAAGTAGACTGTAGACTTAGCTTTTGATAGACAGAAAGATGTTTTTCCTATGCTACAGGTGACTCAGGTAATACCTGTTATCTCAATACGGAGGTCAGCCTCACCTATTATGACTACCCATTCGAGTTCATATTGGCTAGAACACTTATTTGATGAGGTCCAACCGTGCTGAGCAGGTATGCTAAAGGTTAATGGGACATAAAGCAGCAAATGTAAGGTCTGAGGGTGAGGTCGTGGTTTTGATTGTGCTGAGATGTCGGAGTAAGGTGTAATGGTAACTCTCTTACAATAAATCTCGATTATTGTTAAATTTTGTCAAACACTTTATTAACTTACTTAACAGACAATGTTATTCGACCAGAAACACTTCGCATATTTCTTTGTACTGTTATAATCACTATCTTGTCGGTATAAACGTATACGCTTGATCACATGACATCCTACACAAATATCTTTCTAGCTTAAATATCGCTCGATGAATCATTCTATTTCCCTTGTATATATGTACTCGAATCCTACTGTTAGCTTTTGCCTTGCCTAGCTGTGCCTTATTCGATTTGACTATAAATTTGCTTCTGTATTTGATTGCATACACACATTAGACTCTTCTTCAAATCTGCTCGATGAGCTTATAACCTTGTTATTTAGAACAACATATATAAGCGAACAATATTGTTTCTGATTAGATCATCAGGCTTTACTCTAATATGTACGTACGAAATTATTAAACCACATTGTTGTCTGCGCTATCCGCTAATAAACTGTAGTCGCCACTTCTTATCGTCTGATTTTAAACACCGTTGGGATTTATATAATAACAGTTATCAATGTGACTGAATAACGAAGCTAAGCCACTACGGTGTTTTCTACGGATAACCAGCTCTAAGAGTGTTGCTTTCCTCAGAAACAAAGGGGTATTAAGAAATCTTGGCCTCAAAACACCACGTCTCACTGTGCTCAAAGGATTTCCGTTCCTGAAGTTGAGTTCTTTCTAGTACAGAACTAATCCCTCTGAAAGTACCTACATAAAGATCTTAAGTTGCCGCTTTCAAACAGCTATAACTCGGACTCTGGAGTCACGAAACCATCACTACTAACCTAGTTTCCTTCTCAAGAACAAATATCTTTTTACGATTAGGTCAACTGAGAAGTGACACTATAGCACCTTTGCCTGAACTCGAGATTTTAAATTGGTATATTGCTTTGGGCAATCAATTTCAATTTGCCATTTTTCTAAAGATTTCATGCTACATCCAGTAATGTTAAAGGTGGGTTGTTTAGACTTCAAACAATTCTTTAAAGTTTCACTATCAGATAATCTCTAACATGAGCTTTAACAAACAATAATCAACTGCATGAATTTAAGATTTATACTGCCTATCGCTTATCAGTAAATTTTTTAAGACATTACTCAAATCTGTCCATCAACCATGAAGGTTTTGATATCTCAAAAAACAGTACAAGTTAAAATACTAAATAGAAAGATTTATTTAGACAATTTAACTCACCTGTTTCAGTTTTATAGCTTAGAAAACTTTTTACATTTATTTGTTCATTATCTGCTGTTATATAGTTAGAATCTGTCTTCTCTTTCAAAAGTTCTGCATCATTAAACATATCATAAATTACATTCTTATTACCTTCTACATAGCAGTCACTTGATTGACGTGATCTTGTTTTTCCATCAAACTGGGATACGTTTCCGCTTAAACTGTTCTTCTTTAAAAATGCTTTATTGTGTTCATTATTCAGAAAATCAGAGATAGAACCAGTAGTTGACAAAGTATTTTGTACTTCACTGGAATATAGCCGATTACTTTCGTTTTTATCATCAACTTGACTTGGTATGTTACCAGTTAGATAACCTGGAAATGTCAAAATACTGACTGGTTGTCCCTTTAAGCCTGGAAAGAAACCA